CTGTGACGCTATGGCACTCTACCCAGGGTGACATAGTGAGACTCTGTCTCAAAAAAAAAGAAAATTATCATTTATGCTCATCTCTATTTCTAAGTCACAGTAGTTATTAGAGCTGCCAGGACTGACTTGTACTTAATGCATTAATGAAGAAGCACATAAATTACTGTAACACAGCCTGAAAAAATATTTTGATCACTGCATTACAAAAAGTTAGATTCTTTTGTCCTGTGTATTTTCTTTCATTCTGGGAAGGGCCCAAAGGCTTTGCAAGGCTGCTATGACGTCTGATGTTGAGAAAAGTTAAGGAGGCCACCCAAGGGGACCATAGAGCATAAAGCTGGAGGGACTCGGGACCCCTGATGGCTGAGTAGAGCCAATGGGACTGGGCAACTTGGGAGGAGGAGCTGGTAGAGAACTGCACTGTGAACTTTCCCCCCTGGGCTTGGTAGGCTCTCTGTTATAGCAGCTCAGCCTTTGTGCAAACTCCACCCAGCATGAGGCCTCTGCTTCCAGTTGTTCTCACTTGTGGGGACTGGTCCAGGAATAGTGGGGCTCAGCACTTGCTGCTGCAGTTCAGGGGCTCATTTTAAGAAAGAGAATAGGAAAAGATTTAATTTGCTAATTTCATAAAAATATATGACTGTGTAGGCTATGTAAGCACAGTGACAGGGCCCTGCCCAGACCTGGGAAGGGCCAGTGCACAGGTGAGGACCCGCACCCTGCAGCTGGGTTGTGGATGTGGCCCTGCTCCACCCAAGTCCCCTCTTCAGGACCCCCATGCCCATCCCCCAGCTATCGGGGTGCTGGTTGCTCACGGCCCCTGGCTATATCCCTCATGGGAAATGCTAGCAGCCCCAGGGAACTGCCTCGGCTTAAATTTAGTCCCCCTCCCAGGTGCATGCCCTCAGCCAGTGGTGGTCTGGCATAGAGACACCAGAGCCTGACCCTGTCACCTCAGCTCAGATGACACCTTCAGTTTGTCACAACTCTGAAGGGCCTTCCCAGCTGTAGAGCTCACTATGGGATGAGCTTCCTTACAGAAGGCCATTTTGCAGCCTACCAGGACAATAAGTTTCCCTTCAGGAACATTAAAGGGGCCAAATCCCCACAAATCTAACCATGCCCTTTGATCCCTGTGGTACTAGTTCCCAGCTCTTTCTACTGCATAGAGTGTAGGGGCTTTCACATTTTCCAAGGATGTGAACCCCATCTCCCTGGTACCTTCCTTTATTGTGGAAGAATACTTCTAGATTGCTGAACTCCTCCTTATTCACTATTATGGATTGAACTGGGGCCCCTTTCTACCCTAGAGTAAAGCCTGCTGGGTCTGCCCAAGGCAGTGAGACACTAGACACCAAGCGTGTCCCAGAGCGTGGTAATATTATGGATCATCAGGGACATCACTGGTCTAGATCCTGGGGATGCTGGAACAAAAGCAAACAGAAAGTGAAGTTGGTCCATTAGTTTCCTAGGGCCACCGTAACAAAGTATCTCAAACTGGCTAATAACAACAGATACAGCAGAACCTCTGACCACCCAAGGAACTGTCAAAAATTGTCAACATATGGAGGTGGTCAACATAAGGAACTAGGCCTACCATATTGATATGTACATGTGATGTGTGTTCAGTCTATGAAAATTAGGTCAATTGAAGGAGGCAGTTGATGCAGGGAGGTGGTCTTCTGGGAGGCCCTACTGTGTTTATTGTCTCACAGTTCTGCAAGTCAGAAGTCCAAAATCTAGGAGTCACCAGGGCTATCTCTCTCTGAAACACATAGGAGAAAACCTTTCCTTGCTTCATCCTAGCTTCTGCTGGTTGGCAGGCAGTCTATGGAGCCTGTGGGCTGGTAACCGCTGTTACTAATCTCGGGCATGGCCTTCTCCCTGTGCGCATGTCCTTGTTTCTGTTTCCCCCAGTCATATTGGGCTAGGGCCCACCCTAAGGACTTAATCTAGCTTGGTGACTTCTGTAAAGACCCTGTCTTCAAATGAGATTATATTCCGAGGTACCAGGAGTTAGGACCTCAACAAATCTTTACTTTAGGGTAGAAAGGGGGCCCAATTCAATCCATAATAGTGGATAAGGGGGAGTTCATCAATACCAAAGTATTCTCCCACAATAAAGGAAGGTACCAGGGAGATGGGGTTCACATCATTGGAAATTGTGAAGGCCCACACTCTATGCAGTAGAAAGAGCAGAAGAATAGTACCCATACTAGTCTGGACATGCCAGAGTGGGATATGAGGTCTGACAATTAAGTTTGTGAATTTGCCACCTTGTGCTTACATTGGGAGTACTGTACAAACAACTGAGTATGCTTTCATAACCCGGGTATATCAGTGTGTCACAGCTATGTTCCTGTCAATGTGTGGTGGTGTCTTGCTCAGTGGCATTCATTTTTGCTGTTGTATGCTTTTCTGTGCCATCTTGAGAATGTTAGAGCTTGATATGTAATTTAAATTTTCTAGTAGCCACAACTAAAGTCAAAAGAAATGTATACAATTACCTTTTTTTTTTTTGAGACAGAGTCTCACTTTATCACCCTTGGTAGAGTGCCATGGTGTCACACAGCTCACAGCAACCTCCAACTCCTGGGTTTAGGCAATTCTCTTGCCTCAGCCTCCCGAGTAGCTGGGATTACAGGCACCCACCACAACACTCAGCTATTTTTTTCTTGCAGTTTGGCTGGGGCTGGGTTTGAACCCACCACCCTCGGTATTTGGGGCTGGGGCCCTACTCACTGAGCCACAGGCGCTGCCCATTAAGATGCAATATACTGTCCAGACACAGTGTCTCACTCCTCTAATCCTAGCACTTTAGGAGGCTGAGGCTGGTGAATTCGGTGAGCTCACCAGTTCCAGACCAACCTGAGCAACGGAGAGCCCCCTCATCTTTAAAAAATAGCCAGATGTTATGGCAGCCACCTATAGTCTCAGCTACTTGGGAGACTGAGTAAAAGGATCACTTGAACTCAAGAGTCTGAGGTTGCTGTGAGCTATAATGACCCTGTGGCACTCTACCCAGGGTGACAGAGTAAGACTCTGTCTCAAAAAAATAAAAAGAAAGATGCAATATACCTGGCCCAGTATAATTTCAACATATAATCATGCTAAAAAATTATGAATGACATACTTTAAAGGTTTTTTTCCCAGAGTAAATCTTCAATTTCTAGAATACATTTTACAGTTACAGGTGCACCACCTACATTCCAAGTGCTCAAAGCAACATGGGACCTGGGGACCATGCTAGACAGCACGACCTTAAATGCCCCCTGCTGTTCTAGACTTTCCATCATAGATGCTGATGGATGTTCTTATTACTGAGGCATTTTTAGTTCATATTATGTTATTTTTAACACAGTTGCATTCCCCTTACCTTCAGATGGACCACACACACACAATCACACAACTACAATGTTACACGAAGATAAAATCATACACACCAGTGACTGGCTAAAGAATGGTGCTTCAGAGATGCCCTCCCTGAACCCTAAGTATGCCTCATGTCACATGTCAAAGGGACATAGCAAATATAATCAAGATTTCTGACTTTAGCCTGGGCATGGTGGCTCATGCTGGTAATTCTAGCACTCTGGGAGGTCGAGGCAGGGGGATTGCCTGAGCTCAGGAGTTTGAGACCAACCTGAGCAAGAGTGAGACCCCATCACTACTAAAAATAGAAAAACAAGCCAGGCGTTGTGGTAGGCACCTGTAGTCCCAGCTACTTGGGAGGCTGAGGCTTCAGCCCAGGAGTCTGAAGTTGCTATGAGCATTCTACCCAGGGCCACACGAACCAAAAAGAAGGGTTTCTGACATTAAGTGGGAACCTTATCCAGGGTTATGAGGGTGGCCCAGTCTCACACGAGCCCTTGGGGGAGAGAACTTTCTCTGGCTGGAGGCAGAAAAGAACTGTGGCAGAAGAGCGGTGGGAACAAGTCCAAGTGTGAGACGACCTTGATGTGTCACTGCTGGTTCCAGCAAGATGCAGGACCTGGGTGCCAGGAAGGGGGAGAGGCTCTGAGAGCTGAGGATGGACCCCAGATCCAGAAGGAAGCAGTGACCCCAGCCTACGACAGCAAGGGACAGCCTTCTGCCAACCACAGGACCCAATGGGAAGCAGCCTCCTTCTGGCCCCAGCAGGAGCCAGAGTGGCACTTGATTCCAGCCTAGGAGACCCAGAGGAGGAAGGCTGACAGGGGAGATGGGACGCTGACCCACAGGCCTTCCAGCTAATTGATGTGTGTCTTTTTAAGACACTACACTTCTGGAAATTTCTTTTCTTT